CCGGCCATCTTTGAAGATGGCACACCCACAACGCTAGAATTATGCGGAACGTACCCGTTACACATTTCTATTAAGACATGATCATGACAGGCATTATGTCTGAATGCAAAACTGATTGAAAATTACAAATATCACCTCGAGGTGTTTGGAATGAAGTGTCCGAGCTGCCAGTCCGTCAGTCAATTGTTGGGTGAATTCCGCATCGCTGCCAAACACTTTAATTACCAACGACAAAGTGCGAAGCACGGATCGAAGGGGTGAGGTCTTCGACGTTGACTGTTGTTTATGTTTGCGTTTGCTGCTGCATTCGTTTACTTTTCTCCCTCGTACTTGTGTTTTGTTGTCTCAAGTTCACGGTCACAATTATAATTATTTGTTTATAGTAGGTGGCATTACACCATTTCCTTTGTCATATTCAAATTGTGGAATCTATAATGTTTGTTCAAAGACTTTTGTACATGCTGTTTGTAACGAGAGCAAATTTCAGCTTTGTGTGAATTTCTGCAATTTCACGCCTTTTTTTTTGCAGAATCATATCGATATTTAAAAAATATTCCTGCAAACAAATTTGGCGGAATTATATTTGAAATATTGTAAGAGAAAGTCAATCTGCCCAACAGAAATTTAGTAAGAGTAAATATCGCTTATTACATTACAAGCAATGACCATTACATATCCTTTCTGCATTACTAGTATGATAAAATGTAATGTCTTATTCCCATAAAATTTACAAGACAAACAAGTAAAAAACATTAAATTTGGCCAGGTCGAACTCTTAATACCCTCCACCATTGGGTAAAGAAATAATTTTTATATATAAAAGTATCTGAATTTTAGGGTGTATCACTTTAAACCAGAAATACCGTTTGGATAATGTAGTTACGCTATGTAAAAAACCATAAAGTGGGCGAGTCCGTTATATGGGGGCCATACCAAAAAGGTACTTATATATACAACTTTATACTACAAGGATTGTTATGCATTGCGAGTCTTAAATGCCAAATTTGAAAAAATTTCGTGTGACTCTCATTATAAAAATGCCGAATATCGGTGGGTACCCATGGACCTAGATGTACAAACACACGGACATCGTTAAATCGACTTAGAATTGTATGCTGATCAAGAATATATACTCTACGGGGTCTACGACGAATACATAGGGATTTTACACATAGAATGACAAAGTTAATATACCCTACTTTTCAAGGTGTTACCCTGCATTCACTTTTATCATACTAATGTGGCTGGTTCGGAACCCCACGCCAACAAATACGAAAAGTTTGCAGATGCCTATGCATAATATTCTTGTCCGTGGGTGGATGGCAACTGGGCCAAGTCAGAGATGTATGCAAAGGATCCCTCCGCAATGGTATTTTTTATAACCCAGCCCTCCAGAAATGGTTTTAAAATGTATTTTTCAATACATAGCCGAACCTGCATATGTATTATGTCTTGAATATTAAGACATTACGACAAAATATTTCAGATTGAATAGAAATTTTCCTCATAAAGGGAAAAATCGGTAGCCTACAATGCTTTCTGTACGGGTCGCCATGATCGTCATATATCATTTTCATACATTTGGAAATGGTGTCGTTTCAAGCTCTCCGAAAATATACGTGGGCGCAGCAAATGCATAGAACAAGTCTACATACAGACAAACTATGTTTACACACATTTGCATTTCCTTCCCGCGATTGTTGGAGGCTTTTTTTATTAGAGTAATAAATATTTACATTTTCATTTGTCTCAAACATAAAACCGATTTGAAGCACATGAGAATGAGTAAATGCGGATATGGAAGTATGAGCCAGTTAGTCAGTCAGTAGTGGATTTACCGCAGACTATCAGCTATCATTCATTTTTTGGTCATAAATCTGCCACATAAATGGGTCAACTAAGGTTATCCCGCTGGCAAACTAACGTATAGCCAATTGATGGCAAATCTAAATCAATGGAACAAATTTATGGAAATTAGCACACTTTCCAAAATAGACAAAATAAGCCATTCAATAATGTTTGCAGTTCCTTCGCATGGATATGCTTGCAAATAGATAAATATAAAAACGAAAACTTCAACCTCAAAATGATGAAATTCGTACTCAAAAAGGAATGCTAATAACAACAACATTGAAGGAAAAACCATCCTTAGGCCAGGAATGACTAGAAATGTTGCTACAATGCCGCCATATGCAAATGGTCTCCTCCCACATGGATCTCAAACACACGAGCACACGCTTCCACTGGCAAAATACACGTTTTTCTTTTGCTTTTGACTGTTTTTTTGGCATAAAATTAGCATCTATTATTCCATACGATTTTCCATTTTCTCGTTTTTCCTTTTTTGTGTGTGTGTTTGGTTTTATAAAGAAAGTTTCCTTGGAAGCAACAAGTAAGTCTTAACTGTTGCCCAATTCTGATAAACGCCTTGGCTGCACGTTTCTATGCCAAAAGGGTTAAGAGTATTAACATTTCACTTTCGTCATAGAATTACACCGTTTCCATTGCACTTGGAAGTGCAAAGGAAGTACATATGTGCAGAAATTTCTCCATGTGCATTCTTGAGATTGAGGTTGAAATTCTGATATATATTTAGAGAATTGTTACGTTGTTTGATCGCAAGTTATATTTTCACTTTTTAGGTCTTGCAAGCTAAAAATCTATGTAACATCATTTGTCCTAAAATTAATCAGGGATGTTCGCTGGGAATGAGGAAAGAAAGGAATTGAGGTCTCGCCATTCAATATTTTGTACATTTTACTTGAGAATGATAATTTTGTCGAAACATATAAAATTATCAAAATTTTAATGAATAAGAAAGTCCGGTGTTTTATAGGAAGTCCTATATTGTTTTTGAACTATGTACATTTAATGTAATTTGGATCCCAAACAAATCCCATATAAAATATAATATTTTTTATATAAAAAGTCGATATTTTTCTAACATCATAGAATTTACTAGTTTCATAAGTTTGCTGGATTTTCCATTCCAATCTAGCACCCTCATAGGTTTTTTTCGTTTGGCATACATCTGCTTGGCATCTATGATTGTTTATTGAACATTTGAACACTGTTCAAATCATTCGAGTGTTTAGCAAAGCCAAACTCCATTGTGCACACGAATTTATAATAAAGTATGTAGCATACTTCTAGGCATTAAAAAAAACAATATGGTTTCAAGTGATGCCATTTGGTAGTCAAATCAAAAGAGCTACCCAATTAACAATCACACATCATTTCATTATTGGATTATTATACCCTCCACCATAGTATGGAGGGTATATTAAGATTTTCATTTGTAACATCTCGCCACCCCACAAAGTATATATATTAATGGTCAGCATAAAATTCTATGTCGAACGAAATGAAGTAGATTGATAAAATGTTACTCAAATGTATATTATGTCTGCAGGACTTTTGGTATTGAAAATGGGCCATGTAGGTCCACGTTTTTGTATAGCCCCCATTTAACGATACCTCCCGATATTCGGTATTTTGACAATTTTAGCGACATAAATTACCAAAATTGTTTCAAATTTGGTATTTGAAGTTCGAAATGGATACTTCAGCCTATAACAGAAAATTATGTGTGCAGGTCCACGTCTTCGTATAGCCCCCATATAACGGCAACTCCCGATATTCGGTATTTTGACGATTTTAGCGACATTATTTACCAAAATTGTTTCAAATTTGGTATTTGAAGTTCGTAATGGATACTACAGCATACGTCAGAAAGGTCTGTATAGGTCCACGTTTTGGTATAGCCCGCATATAATGGTACCTCCTTATATTCGGTATTTTCATGATTTTAGCTACATTATTCACCGATTTTTTTTCAAGTTTCGCGTTTGAATATTGTATTGGCTGATGACAAAAGTTACCTATGCAGGTCCATGTCGTCGTATAGACCCTAATATAACAGCTACGTTCTGTATTTTTAAGATTTTAACGGATTTTATTGTTTTTGAGAATTGCAAATTCGTACCAAATAGTGGAGGATATTCAAAGTTCGGCCCGGCCGAACTTACAGCTTTTTACTTGTTTAATAAAAATTGGCATTACAATATAAAAAGTATAGAAAACATTTTATAATACGCTTTATATATAGTTTACCAATTTTATAAATCGGTTAAGTTGCATTTTATTTGCAACACTTACAGCATTGCCAACATAACATTTTTTTTTTTTTTACAGAGCTGGGAATATTTTTTAAGAAGGGGAAATTGTATCTTATAGGTTGGAGTTTTTTTATATTAATTTTTTTTATTATCTCGAAAGAGATAAAAACAAAAAATCCTCACTATTTTAATTTGTGTCCCTTAACAAGGTGTAAGAACGTCGTATCATATCCTACGCCACGCTGTGGTACAGGGTTTACAGGGTCTTTGTGAATTTGCAGAAGGAAACGAAATAGATCCATAGTTATTTTTATAACCTTCTGTCCATGTATTTTTGTAAACAAAGTACAGGTCGCATTCATCGTCCGATTTGGATAAAGAATTTCCACAAATCCTGTGTTTGGCCCAAGGACGAACCCTATGGAAATAATTGATCCAAGTTAGATATAAGTTCCTATATATTTTCGTTCGATTTCAATAATAGCTAAAAACGCCGAAAACTCAATATTTAAGGAGTTGTGGCCATTTTAAAATATTGATTATTTCACACTTAAAAAAAGTGATCACAAATAATAGCTAAAAACGCCGAAATTCAATATATAAGGAGTTATGGTCATGTAATAATTCACACTTAAAAAAGTGACCACAAATAATAGCTAAAAACGCCGAAAACTAAATATTTAAGGAGTTACGGCCATTTTAAAATATTCTTATTCGAAAATTCGTTATCCCCCGATTCCTACTTTGGAAAAATATCCACTGTCTGGAGAAATAAAATCCCCCTCATTGGCAACGCTGGCTGCAATTTTCTCATTCACTCTCTCACTATTTTCACTTCTACTCTCTGTAACAACCTCTGTTTGGATGGCTATCCAAAAGATACACATTCGTTCAGTATGTACTCGTATCTCATCGAACACTGCTCGCTCTCCAATAAAACACTTAAAACAAACAAAAAAACAAAACATATTTCTAACCCACAGAGGAGATACGCTCCGGCTCCGGCGATCTCATCGAACCAAACTCAGTCGGTTTAATTCAGTCAAGTTCGGTGTTTGTATGAAAAACGGGCGCATGCCACAATGAGCTGCTACTACTCCACTTAGCGAAGACACAAGAACGAAAAAAAATAACAGAAAAGAAAATCAATTGAAGTGAAAAAATTACAATAAAGAGTCATTGAAAAGAAAGAAATCAACAACAAATGAATTGAATTGAAGTGAATTTAGCTTACAAAAGACACCCTCCCCACACAAATCGGGAGATAAAAGAATTTCAAGCACAAGCAACAACAACAAGTAAGAAAAGTGTATAGAAACGCGAAACACTTTGGAATGTACGATTTCTGCTTGGCCCTGGAGCAGCAGCGGCAGCAGCAGTTAAATTGATCTGCTTCAACACCCCAGACGGGAAATAAGTGCATAAACGTTTCAATTACCCTAACCCCCCGACCACCTTCAAAGGTACGAACATACAGCTACATACTGGGTATAACAAAACAAAAAAACAACAACAATAATAGTGGCCCCCGTTTACGCAATACGACCCAAATAACAACAAAAACAACTGGCAAGAAGTGCTCGTAAATTTGTTCTATTCTTAAAGTGAGCCAAGTTCAAATTATTGTTTATTCAAAATGTGAGTGTGTGTGCGTGTGTCTGTTGGTGTTTGACATCGACACGGTCGGTGAACGTATAAATGTATGGATATGTTAGACAGTTGTCAACGGGGGGAGCGGGGGATCTATTGTCTATATCAGACAGAGTGGTGTTGGTCCCTCCCAACCACCACCCTGTCCGACGGGAGCAAGTTTGTTGGAGGGTAGAGTAGGGGGTTCTGGTGTTTGAATTGCTTGTAATGACAATGAAATCACTTCGAACAAAGTCGTTAAATGTTTAATTGAATTCTCGTATATGTCGTAGGTATCTACCTCCACCAAATTATCACAAACAACAACAACTACTACTACGTCGCCGACACTATAATATGCCATTACATGCAGCCTACCGCGACCTAATGGGAGCACCCAGTTTGTTAGTGCGAAGAAGAATATCAAAAAGGGGAGTATGGGAGGGGGGTAATAACTCTTTTTGCATTGGCATGGCCAAAAGTAGTCGATAGCTTGTTTTGAGAGTGGATCGTCAATGGAGATACCAACAAAACACATTTTTCTGTATCTCTCTTGGCTTTATTTATTCTCACATTGTTCTCTTGGTTGGAGAACACAAGTGGAGTCAATTCCGAGTACATTGGTATCTCCACAGTTGTTTGATTTGATTGAAATTAATTTTCGTATTCTGTTCGTGTGTCGGAGAGACGTTTGTGCGTGTGTGTGCTTTATGGATTTTTGTTTTGTTTGTTTCTTTTCTTTATTTTTTTTTGTAAATTGTATGCTAAAGTTTTGCATGAGTAACTCGCTTTCTGAGAATTAGGGTCGTATCCAACCGCTGTCTGTTTCGCATTCACCGGAGATCTTTCGTCGTCTTGAAAATAAATAACAAAACAAAAAACATTTCCTCGTTTTCGTGTAGACTTGCTATGTGAATTCGCAGATAATAAATAACAGAAAAGTCGTAGAAAGAAAATAATTAAATATAGTCTGAAATGAAAAGCTTTCTATTTGAATGATTGGCTTGAAGTAAAAAATATTTGAAATTAGCTAAGGGTTGGCGTGAAAATTGGTTGGCAAGAGTTTTCTAAGCATTCCACATAATAAGAGAAAACTCAAAGAAGTGTTCACTTTGTCTACTCAACTGAAGCCTTGGACTTACATACAGTGTAGAGAATTTTATTAAAATAGTTTAAACGAACTGAAAACTTAAAAATATTTCAAATATCGTAAGGCTTAACTCTAGTTTAGTAAAAACTCTTCAATTTTTTCGAAAATTTTTCCAGTGGTAGTTATTTTTACCCCGATCCCGGGAAACTATTTTTTTTTGGGGGACGGACCCGGGACCTAAGATTTTTGACTTGAAAATCCGGGTCCAAGACCCGGCCTGGACACGGACCCTATTACCCGATATAGACAATATGGGTATATCTGGTACCTCCCCCACAAAAGGTCGAAATATAAAAAAAAAAAAATAAAAAAATATTCTACTGCACAGAAAGAGAAAGGATAATCCGATTTTGCTACAACTTTGCAAATCCTAATATTTGCATCAGGTACAAAAATTGACAATATTGGTCTACTCCATCAAGTAGCTTCCCCGCAAAGGGTCAAAATGTTGAAAATTTTAACTCATATAAAATGTGAAGTCCGATTGTCTTCAAATTACACACATCATAATATTGTTATTAACCCAAGGTCTGGTGTAAAGACACCCCTTTTGGAACCTTCCCCACAAAGGGTCAACATTTTGAATATTTATGAAGCTCATAAAACACGAATTTAACATCCGATTCCATTCAGACTTGACACGTATTAATATTTTCATTTACACAAGATCTCTTATAAAGATGGCAGAGATTCGACCATTGCTTTTGGTAGCTCCCCCACAAAGGCACAAAGTTTTGGATAACCAAAACAATCATAAAATCCGAAGTAAGCATCCGGTTATCTTCATATTTCACACATCTCATTATTTCTACTAACACAAGATCTGCTGTGGAGATGAAATATATCGGACCACTGACGCCTGACGTTGGTGGTTGGTAGTTGTCATTATTAAGTCCAGGAAATGTTATTAAATTGTTGACCAAATTTAAATGTTGGGATTGTTACAAAACAGAATGATGATATAAATTCTTGATTTAGAAGATAGGAAGGGCATCCGTTAGCCTTATCATCGTTTACGAACGGTCCCTTGGATTTTTGGCAAACCTACCAACTCTTGGTTTAATGCAAAAAGGGCAACTTATAAGCATATGACCTACAATAAATTGCTTGCTGGTTAACTACGAATTTTTCTTAACTCTATTCTTCTTTGTGCAGGCCCAACAACTACCCTTTACTTCCCATTCCCCCATTGACAGGTATTTCCCAGCTTTTTTTCAAATTTCAAATTCGTGTCAATGATCTTGTTTTCAGTCATAGATACTTGGCCTTTATCGAAGGTCCCTTAATTGATTTGTTGGGTGTCTCCACTTCTTGTTGCCACTCTTTTAGAATAGAGGTGGATTTCCTGCTCCCAACGAAATCGATAAGATAATGTTAACAAAAAAAAAAGAAAAACAAAACTGCAAAACGAGATATTAAAATACCATGCATCTACACGCACACTTGAACGACGTCGTCTTATCGCCAGGAAATTTGACCGATTGATAAGTTTCGTTTTCACGATCGTTTTTAGTTAGTCATTGTCAACCAACCGCAACACAATACCCCCGGCCCAAAATATAACTAACGAAATCGTGCAACGTCTCAATATCGATAACTCGATTGTGTTGTTAGCGAAGTTGCATGGGAGATCACTTGGCACTCCTCCACCCACCTCCTTACTAAACTAAAGAGAAAAAATAGCTACAGTGTTAATATTTTGTTTGTAACGCTCGTTGTTGGGTTATCACCAGAAGCAGCCTAGTCAGAGCATGAATCTTAAAGAATATTTTTAACATCTAGTTCCGACGTGCGCAGCGTCTGCGGTAAAGAACAGCGAGTGAATAATAGCGGAGACAAATAAATGAAATAATAAATAAATAAAGTCTCGATTTAAGTGCCAGCTAATGAATTGTCAGTGAGCGGGCGGGCGAGCGAGTGAGTGTTGGATATCACTTTCAGTGTGAGGAAACAAAGACCTTTCGCTAGTTCCAATTAAAATATAAACAAAACACGACCAGCAACGCTGCTTTCATTGTGCTGTCGAGGTTGTCGCCTTAGCGCGTTCGTTAATGTCAAAAGATAAATAAAGTGATAATACGCCTGTCGTGTCTTGAAAAAATAAGTGTCAAACGAAGAGTGGAAAAATTATGTTAAATATTTACTTAGTTTTGCACATTACAACAACAACACCGCTAATACGCTGAGCAAAGAATTTTGCACCAGCTCAAGGATACAATCACCTCCAGTTAAAAAAGGAAAGAAAGAAGCTGCTAGATAGTCCACACCTTCGAACGGACAACTTACTATTGCGTCGAATAAAATGGATATTGAATCTGATGATTCGGAGCGTTGGGAAGATTTCTTTGGTGAGTAATAAATCGGTTTTCTATTTAAATAATCTCTAGATAACTATGCATTATATCATTGATTTATAGCTTAACGAATTAAATGTAGAATTTTGTAAACTTCTGATTGGTTATAAACAATAGGGTGAGTAAGAGAAATTAACGCATATCTAGTTGTGTCTCTAACTCCTAAAGAACTAATATCGCCTTTAAAAGGCAGTAACATTATTTCAATATGGAACTTTTTCATAAACAAACCAAGAACAACAATTTCAATACATACAAATATTTGAAATTTATGACTAGAAATTCGGGTTCGGGGCCGTGGATTTTATGACCATCGATCAAGCAAAATACCTCTTAAATTGGGTGAGCTGTGAAAATTATACAGTTATATTATAATTTTGGTCGCAGAGACGATAAGGAGAAATTCGGGAGAAATAAACTTCTGCAGCATTTTAGGCATAACCAAAGGTGACTAAAATATGAGAGTAAGTTTATGTTAAACATAAGACATGAGGAGGTAATATTTTGTTTAAACAGTGCCGTGCATCGATAGACACCGATGCATAAGCGCGATTAAACAACCTGGAATATGAAATTTGATAGATTTTTTAGTTCAGACATTTTTATAGCCTCTATACAGGGTGAGATAAAAACTGCAACAAAATCAAACGCCATAATTTTTAAAAATTTTTTTTAAATTTTTTTGAAGGAAAGCAAAAATTCTCGGAAATAGCAATAAGTTGTAGAATAAGTTTAGATTTGTTCGAATTGGTCACCTTTGGCCCGAATTATTGCCTTCAAACGTCCAATAAAACAGTCACACGCTGCCCAAATGTTGCTCAGAAGTATTTTGGCTCATTCCTGGCGGAGCGCTTGCTTGAGGTGATAGACACTTTCGTGCCAACCTTGCTTTCCAAAATACTCCAGACACAATAGTCCAACGGATTGGTATCCGGAAATTTTGGTGGCTATTGTGCGCTGGAAATGAAGCTAGGAACCTCATTTTGTAACCATTCTTGGGTGGCGCGTGCTGAATGCAATGGTGCTGAGGTGCTGATATTTTCGCGATAACATTCCGCATTTTTTCTGATGTCACGGTCGATTAATAGGAGCGGAGAGCGACCATCGTTATGTTATGTTATGTTATGTTATGGCGGCCCACACCATTACCATGGCCGGCGCTTGACTTCTGGTGACCAATCGAAGGTGTAGGTCAGCTGAAAATGACCTCTTTGGCAAGTAAACACGATCATTTTGTTGGTTTACAAACTGCTGTTCAACGAATGTTTTTCATCGGAGAAAACCAAATCCGGCAGTTCACCGCTTTCGGCCCAGCGAAGCAACTCTTTAGCTCTTTTGAGTCTATTTTCTTTGGCTTTACCCCAGCTCATTTTTCAATATTTGCGAATGTAATTTTGCGATATGTTCAGCTAACGAATCATTTTTTGGTCACTGGGACGCGGGATTCGATCAAGTCGTTTCTTTACTTTTCGAACCATTTCTGCTGATGTTGCTGTTTTCTTCCGTCCACTTCCTTGACGTCGGGCTACGCTACCAGTATCACGGTAACGAGCGATGGTACGAGACACAAAAGTGATTTATTCACATTTAAATGCTGGAGTGCTTAAACGATAGCCACTTGTGGTTTTCCAGCCAAATATAAAGAAATCACACTTTGACGCTTGAATTCAATCACGAATAACATTTTTCTGGAAAACTCTCACCAGAATGCTTTTGTACGCTTGTAAACGATACAATGAGCTGGCACTGGAATAATTCTAAGATCTGTCGAACGAGTGGCTTAGAAATGATAGCAGTCTGAAGTTGATTGCAGTTTTTCACCTCGTCCTGTATATTAAATAAATATCGATATATTGAATATTTTTTTGCAAATTTAATTCCAGCGCGCTGAGAACATAAAACGGCAAAATTCATCAAATTCTGTTGACTATTGTTTCTAAAAACTTGAGGCCTACCCTCATTATGGGGAAGCTATAAAAATGATGAGCCTATATTTGAATGGGTATGATGGTAAAACCCCCTCAAAACACACAAAAAATCGGGAAGTTCTGTTATAAAACAGTCATACCTAAATGTGATCAGATTTAACGTTTCCCCAACACCGAATATCCTAGACATAGCACTATAAACTTTTGTGATGAAATTCGAAGTTTTGCTAAAATAACATTTTTATTTCAAATGACAGGCGGACAGTCTTAAATGCAGATAAACAAATTGGGAATTGTAATTTAAAGCCACTAGTCTTTTCTTCAGTTCTTTTTACCTGGACTATGGTTCCAATTATGCCAGAGAAACAATAAAATTCGTTATTGAATTTTATTCTATTCGATTTTATTCCATAAAATGTCGCTTATTTTCTGGGCCCAAAATAATTCTCAAACATTGAGGATGACATGACTCTCACATTTTTTATTTCATGTACACATTCACACAATATTTCTTTTAATACTAAATCTCATTATATAATATTATTTTGCATGAAATATCATTCATTTATATTTATGAGGATTGTGATTGAGCGCGATGCTTTCCCAATTAAATTCAACAATTAAAGTGTACTGACTTCGGTTCCAACTTATGGAATGATGAGAATTCCTTTAGACCCGTTTTGTTTCTGTTTTCGTTTTGTTTTCTTTTTTGTTTGGTTTTTAATTTGTATTGAAATGTCACAACATTTCGCACAATATTCATTTTTTCCGTGTCATCGACCTCCATCTGGCTGAAATGAATTGAAATTGTCATTCAATACCTTGGATTGGATAATTATGCCGCTCTACCCTATATTCAGCTTTGAGAAAGCGTCTGATCATTAAATATGGTTTAAAAAGCTCGCTCGTCCATCACCGATGCGGTTCCCCCAGTCAACGGGCAGAAATGTAGAGCATACGGTATTGATGATGCCCGCACCGTATTGATTAGCGCTGATGAATGTGATCACTTTTGCCCATAAATTGACAAAGAAAAACAAACAAAAATAACAAAACAAAACGCAAAGATGAGACAGATAAAGAGCCGGAGGAATGGAGAAATGACTTTAACCCCAATACCTTTGCAATGGCTTTTGTTTCTTTGTGCCAAATGAAGTGTTTGCGCCACTATTTGCACCGCCACTTCACTTTTACCTCGTGCCCTGCTGCTGATCTCTGATGATGCGCTTCCATTATTAGCAACAATCACCAGCAAGCAGTTGACTAGCATGGCAATTGCTGTTGTTGGTGGTGTTGGTGATGTCGTCGTCGCGGTCGTCGTTGGAGGACTGGCTGATCAAAGTTCGTTGTAGACCAGAAACCTAGAAACCAGTTTTGGGGGTATCATACCTGGTTGCGCTCACTGTTGTTGTACTTGCTTTTTACCATAAACGACAAGCCAGCAACAATAGCGGCAGCGACTGTATCCATACCCGAGACAACAGTGATTATTACACAATAACCTGTTGGAACAGCAAGCAGCAATAAAACAGCTACAACAGCGAGCCTTAAAACGGCTCCGCACTTTGTGCCAGAAATAGCACCAACCATGGCCATCACCAACGGCGACAGCAGCGGCGTCTTGCTCCTTGTATCTGTCAAGAAAATGAAGGCAAAACGCTCATGGCGCACATTCCTGTAGACCGCCACTTTGCCTCCCCTAGTTTTAAAGACCGTCGTCCATTGCTCCCAGCCGATTAATATCGGGCCATTAATTTCATATGGGCCATAACTAATCGACAAGTAGCTAGTCAATGCTGAATCAATTCGGCCTCTTCTTAAATTACAAGCAAGCAGCGTGTCCGCTTCCCTCGTGTTAGTCAGGGACGAAATACGAAACGGAACATTGACATTCTTTGCGTCACACGGCGTTTGAGGAGTTGTTCGCACAAATAAAATGCGAAATACAAATTTTATGCAGTGATAATGTGTGAAATAGCCGCAGAGAGATGTCCACGGAATGCCAACGAACATGATTGGTATTCGCAAATATATTTTGTTACTAATTAAGACTAGATATGTAGTAGTAATCAATTCAGAAGAGAATTGTGAAGTTCTTGTTACATGCAATAAAGTCCGAATCTAGTTTATGTTCATCCTATCGTGAAGATTTTGAACAACTTTCTCAGTATCTTTAAAATACATTAAATATCTACATATTATGGTGTCATCAGTATTATGCTCGTATAGGCGATTTTCAAGAATTCCGAGATACTCTGTGAGATTGTTGTCAATTGTCTGATATATCCCTTATGTTTCGATATTTGAACGTATAAACGCAAGATTTATGAGGTGAAACTGTTAAATTAAATATCAGAGTATTATTTTATTTAGATTCATAAACTAGAGATTAGTCTCTGTAGAATAACAAATGTAAAAAATACGTCACGTTGATCCACACACTTATTCATCACTCGTTAAATGGAAAATAGCTTCTAAACGAGCAATAATCTTAATCTCAAAGTGGAATATAACCACCATCATCATTATGATTAATTTTTTTTCTTCGGTGAATGTCATATTTCCCATTCTTATGACTCATGGGTTTAACATCATCACACTTTTGTAGCAGATTCTGAGGACACAATAAAAACACATTTCAACTCTGCTCGATATTCAGAGCTCTGATAATCGCTAAAAATGTTAACGCTTCCACGCATCAACTGCTAAAATGAGGCATGTAGATTGGGTTAAATTTTTCATAACAACCTCCATAAAAACGTAAGAATCAGCCAACTAAGTTGACACTTAAATTACTAAAATTTATAAACTATGGACTTACAGGGTGAGATAAAAAACAACTGCAACAAAGTCAAACGCCATAATTTTTAATTTTTTTTTTAAATTTTATTGAATGAAAGCAAAAAATGTCGGAGATATCATTAAATTTTAGAATAAGTTTAGATTTGTTCGAATTGGTCACCTTTGGCACGAATTATGGCCTTCAAACGGCCAATGAAACCGTCACACGCTGTCCGAATGTTGCTCTGCGGTATTTTGGTTCCCGGCGAAGGTGATCGACACTTT